GCAGCAGCATCATCAGCATCCTCAGCATCAACACCAGCATCGTCATCATAATCATCATCAGCAGCAGCATCAACATCATCATCAGCAGCAGCATCAGCAGCATCATCAGCAGTAGCATCATCAGCATCATCATCATCAACATCATCATCAGCAGCATCCTCATCCGCATCCGCATCCTCATCGTCAGCATCGTCATCAGCATCAGCAGCAGCAACAGCAGCAGCATCATCAGCAGCAGCATCATAATCAGCAGCATCCTCATCGTCAGCAGCATCGTCATCAGAATCGCCGTCATCAGCATCATCATTATCATCGTCGTCATCATCAGCAGCAGCATCATCAGTAGCACCATCATCATCAGCAGCAGCAGCATCATCAGCAGCAGCATCATCAACAGTATCAGCATCATCATCAGCATCAGCATCATCATTATCAGCATCAGCATCAGCATCAGCAGCATCAACATCCTCATCATCACCAAAATCAGCATCATCATCATCATCATCATCATCATCATCATCATCATCATCATCATCATCATCCCCCTCCTCCCCCTCCTCCCTCCTCCCGTCACCCCCTCACTTTAGCACACCCCTCACATGTTTCGTGGCCCCATAGGGAGCTACACCCAAGGCCCCAGTGGCTGCATTCACATGCCGCCTCTTGTCCACTTTGGCGCACCCCTCACATGTTTCGTGGCCCTATGGGGAGCTCCACCCAAGAACCCAGTGGCTGCATTCACATGCCGCCTCTTGTCCACTTTGGGCCGCCCCTCACACGCTCCGTGGCGCCATAGGGAAGCTCCACCCAAGGCCCCAGTGGCTGCGTTCACATGCCGCCTCCTGTCCACTTTGGCACACCCCTCACACGCTTCGTAGCCCTATAGGGAGCTCCACCGAAAGCCCTAGTGGCACAGCTCGCATGCGTTACCCCCACCCAGTACAACGTTGCGTAGCCCTATAGGGAGCTCCACAGAAGGCCCTAGTGGCGGTGTCCGCATGCGTTCCCCCCACCTATTCCAACGCTTCGTGGCCCTACAGGGAGCTCCACCGAAGGCCCCAGTGGCGGTGTCCGCATGCGCTTCCCCCACCCAGCACAGCGGTTCGTGGCCCCGTAGGGAGCTCCACCGAAGGCGCCAGTGACGGTATCCGCATGCGCTCCCCCCACCCAGCACAGCGGTTCGTGGCCCCACAGGGAGCTCCACCGAAGGCCTCAGTGGCGGTGTCCGTCCGTATGCGTTCCCCAATCCAGTACAACGGTTCGTGGCCCCACAGGGAGCTCCACCGAAGGCCCCAGTGGCGGTGTCCGTATGCTTTTCCCCACCCAGTACAACGTTGCTTGGCCCCATAGGGAGCTCCACCGAAGGCCCCAGCGGCGGTGTCCGCATGCGCTTCTCCCATCCAGCACAGCGCTTCGTGGCCCCATAGGTAGCTCAACCGAAGGCTCCAGTGGCAGCGTTCGCATGCGTCTCCTCCACCCAGCACAACGTTTCGCGGTCCCATGAGGAGCTCCACCGAAGGCCTCAGCGGCGGTGCTCGCATGCACTTCCCCAACCCAATACGACGCTTCGTGGCCCCATAGGAAGCTCCACCCAGGGCCCCAGTGGCGGTGGTCGCATGCGTCTCCCCCACGCAGTACATCGCGTCGTGGCCCAACAGGGGGCTCCACCCAAGGCCCCAGTGGCGACGTTCGCATGGCGACGCCGCTCCATTTCGGCACACCCCTCCCACGTCTCGTGGCCCAATATGGAGCGCCACCAAAGGCCCCAATGGCTGCGCCCGCATGCGTCCCCGCGCCATTTCGGCACACCCATTACACGCTTCGTGGCCCCACAAAGAGATCCACCGAAGGCGAAACATCAACGGCGATACTCACAACCCGGATAATGTAACAAGGTATGCACGGTTTCTCATGGTCAACGCGCCAGAAATGATGTTTTGGAAGGACTCCGGACTGAGAGGGTGCAACAGGTACGTTGATTCGCGGTGTTGAAATCCTAGGAATGGTGTTCTGGCAGGATTCGGAGTCGTCAAGATGCGGCAGTGATGTTGATTCGTGGCGTTGGAGTCCCGAGAATGGTGTTTCGACACGCTTCAGGGTCTTCAAACGGTCCTCCCCCCCAACGAAGCAGTTCCCTCTGTTCAAGTGAACCCTTGTAGGGGCCTATGAAGAGGGAGCTTGGAGGGAGTGTTTATTCCAACATCGTTGATGAGTCTTGGGTGTCCTCTGGTCCTCCTGATCCTCCTCCTCCGCTCCTCGTCCTCCACCGCCTCCTCCTCCTCCTCCTCCTCCTCCTCCTCCTCCTCCTCCGCGTCCTCCTTCTCCTCCTCCTCCTCATCCTCCTCATCCTCCTCCTTATCATCCTCGTCCTCCTCCCCCTCCCCATCCTCCTCCTCCTCTCCCCGCGATGATGAAGTTGCCATGCATTGATCCGCCTCGAAATCCTGGTCAGAGCCCCACCATCCCAGACCTCCAGCGTCTCGTGGAAGATAGGGAAGCACTGGATTGCTTTGGGGGACTCTCTGAATCCCCTCATGGGCGACCTCGCGGCAACGGCTGGATCCGCCTCGAAATCCTGACCCGAACGCACCCCATGAGAGAGGCCCAGATGTCGGTCTTTGCCGAGACAGCAAACGACCCCCATCGGTTGAGAGGGCCTCCTACCGAGTGAGCATAGGGGAGAAGGGTGTGTGTATTCAAATATCTATATATATATATACATATATGTATATATATATATACATATATATATACATATATATATATATATATATATATATATATATATATATATATATACTATATATATTACACGGCCAGACCTAGGATTGAAAAAAACATCCTTCAAAAACATGAGACCCTCCGCTGGCCAAACTGGCGAACATTCGAGCCTACCCTCCCCCAGGATGCACAAGAACATCCCACAAGCACGAAGAGCATCCAGCAAACACGCAAAGAACATCCACCGAACACGAAGAACGGTAGGGCACCCTCCCCGAGCCGACCCCGATCCTGCACCTCGGTCCGACCGTAGGGAGAAGGGGGCTCGCTGCAGACCGTCACTGGCCCAGCGAGCTCCGAATACCAGGCACACCACATCAACGGGGCCCTGGAGGCAGCCCGCGGCGGCAGTGGGTGCGGAAAATCCACCTGTCAATTGGAGTTCAAAGCCGACGTCGCACACCAGAGCACAACAGAGAGGAGGTGGATCAGGTCAGACACCTGCCTGTAGGGGAATGTGTCTACTTCGTGACGAAGAGAGGCTGCCCTAGGACATGCAGGAGGAGGAGGAGGAGGCGGAGGAGTGAGTGAAGGGCATGCCCTACTCGAAGAAGATACAAGTGCATAAACATGAATGTTCGGAGGTCTGCGCGGGTTTCTCTGATCCGCACCGGAGACCCCCCTGGCGGCGCCTCTGGCGTCGCCCCTTGCGCGATCCGCGCGCCATGGAGTGGGGACCTGAGTTTGGAGGGACAGAAACGTTAGGGATGGGGTTCTTTCTGCAGATGTACCACACCAAACCACCCAGATGTATTGTCCCTGCTGCGGAAAGAGGACCGAAGTGAGGCCACGTCTTCACCGTGTTATGAGGGTTTGGGGTCCTTCTGCTCTCGATGAAACGAGGGCTCAACAACAACACAGGAAGGCTGAGAAATGGATGACCGCGCGGAAAGAGGAGCGGTCGGGTGACGAGGGGAAGGGCTGGAGAACGAGAAGAAGCACTGGCAGCGACTACATTTGGCCTCAGAAAGTCACCAAGGCAATGCTATCGGCGATGTTGCTTAACGGTGATGTTGGGAACCAACATGTAGGAAATCACGATCCACACTTTTCTGCATTTACAATATGCAAGTGTATTGAACGAAAACGATACTGCAAATTGTATGAAAGCACGAGCCACGCGTTCCCACAACACCGAAACCTACATGGCCGTTAGCTCCATCGCCGTTCGCGTGTCTACGGAGTCTGAAATATCCCAACCAGTTACGCTCGGTCAAGGCCAGCATGATGGCCAAGCCGCCTGACATGCTCGCGATCAGCCTCGACAAGGACAGTCCGCCTGGCATGCTCGATAACGATCCGCCTGGCCAAGCCGCCTGGCATCTCAATCTCATTGAAACGCGGTGGGGTTCTCAGGTATAGACACGCGAGCAGGAGCAACTACATTCACGTCAAATCAGTCCTCCCCATCTTCCTTATCCGTCCCCTCTTCCCCCTCATCCCTATCCCCTCCCCCCTCCTCTTCGCCGTAAATATCATCTTCATCATCCTGATCCTCCTGCTCCTCCGCCCACGTCCTCCTCCCTTCGTCCTCGATATCCTCGTCCTGGTCCTCGTCATCATCCTTTTCATCGTCTACCCCCAACCCCATTTCCCTCCACATGTTCCTCCTCATCAGTATCGTCATCGTCATCGTCATCAGCATCAGCATCGTCAGCATCATCATCATCAGCAGCATCATCATCATCATCATCAGCAGCAGCATCAGCATCATCAGCATCATCAGCATCATCATCATCATCAGCATCATCATCATCATCAACACCATCATCATCATCATCATCATCATCATCATCATCATCATCATCATCATCATCATCATCGTCATCATCAGCAGCATCACCAGCCTCATCATCATCACCATCAGCAGCATCACCATCAGCATCATCATCGTCATCATCAGCATCAGCATCATCAGCATCATCACACTCATCAGCATCAGCATCTGCATCATCAGCATCGTCAGCATCAGCACCATCATCAACAACAACCGCATCAGCAGCATCAGCATCATCCTCAGCAGCAGCAGCATCATAATCATCATCAGCATCAGCATCATCATCACCACCATCACCAGTATCAGCATCATCACCTTCATCAGCATCAGTTTCCTCGTCATGATCAGCAGCAGCAGCATCAGCATCAACATCAGCATCATCGTCATCATCACCATCATCTTCCTGATCATCATCGTCGTCATCATCAGCAGCATCATCAGCAGCAGCAGAAGCAGCAGCAGCAGCAGCGGCATCTTCTTGCCCTGTACCGAACCTGCACAGAACGTAATCCTCTGCCCATACGCATCGCCCTTTTCCTCCTCCCTCTCCCCCTCTCCCTCCTCCTCCTCCTCCTTCTCCTCCTCCTCCTCCTCCACCACGCTTCTCCCTCTCATTGACATCCCCCAATACCCATAATCCACCCCGAATTATGACTCTGCTTCGTCTCACGTAAAAAGTTGCGCGATGCGAGCTCTCTCCGAAACTGTATTACAAGTGAGCGTGCGCCGCCTTAGGCAGGAGGAGTGAGCATTTGCGCAGTGAGGACGAGCAGGAAGGAGGGGGAGGAGGGCTCCTCCAACTCCCAATTCTCAGGAGCAGGACGAGGAGGGGGAGAAGAACGAGGATGAGTGCGGGGAAGGAGGAGGAAGAAGAGGACAAGTGCAAACCCAAGACGCATCAACAATGTTGAAGACAGCCCCCCAAAAAAACCTCCCTCCAAGTTCCCAATTCAGCGGGAAGTGGCCCATTAGAAGAAAGCTGTCTGAGAATCCTCAATCGCGCGATAAGACCATTGATGGAACTTCAACGCCGCGGATCAACGTGACTGTTGCGTGCTGGTCCTTAACCGTGCCAGAACAACCTTCCTGCGACTTGAACAATACGAACCTTTGAAAGAGTCGCAAACTTTTTGAGACGAACTTGCGCAATAACAAGGCGGGAGTCACATGTTCAAAAGGACCCGCCCCACATCCTTGAAGCTGCTGCAAACTTCAAAAACGAATCTGCGCGGCGCTGCAAAGCGAGAGCCACATATTGAAGACCAACCGCCCTCCATCCGTTAAACTGTTGCAGATGCCAAGCTTCAAAATCATAACTGGTCAGGAAGTCTCAGGCGGAACGCCCAGCCCGCCCCACCGACACGTGAGGGGTGCGACAAAGGGGAGCTATGTGTAAGAAGGGATGGAGGAGGAAGAGGAGGAGGAGAGGGCGAGAAGGAGGAGGAGGAGAAGTGGGAGGAGAGGGAGGAAAAGGAGGAGGAGAAAAAAGAGGAGGAGGAGGAGGAGGAGGAGGAGGAGGGGGAGCAGAACCGAGCAGCGCGGCCCGAGATGGCTCGGCCGCGCAGCGAGTGCGGGCCGAGAATTCTGCAGCTCGTCGTGGCATCAGTACAAGGGTCAACCTCAGTCCTCCGGGCCCCCGCGCGCGGAGAGGCCAGGAAGGGCGCGTGAGAGGCTGGGCCGTGGACCGCCCCGCCGCCCACCTCCACGGTGGAGACAGTAAGTGAAGGGGCCCTGGGACACACAGATCAACAGACACACGAGTAACAGGATTCCCCGTATCTTTTTGGGGGGGGCGGGGATTCCTGCCTTCCCCCCACTTCCCATCTCTTCCCGCAAGTCCTGCGGAACCAACGATTCCTGGTGTCTGTGTGTGTTTTTTTCCCCCCTCCTGCTAAACACACGACTTCAAAGAGTACGCGCGGATGCCTTCGACCAGCGCCGGAGCCCCAGGGCGGCGCCTGCCCAGCGCCGCCCCCGGCGCGCTCCGCGCGACGGGGAGGAGGAGGGTCCGGCACCGGTCCGCACGGCTCCGCGCGGGCGGCATCGGTAGCGCACCTCTGCCGGGTCGCAAGAGGTGGGCAGCGCCAGGAGGCAGGACGGCGCGGGGAGCAGCTTCTAGGTCCCCGCCCGCCCGCTGAGGAGGAGGGAAGATAGGGGGCCACGTGCGAACCCTGCCCCTACCCCCCACGATTTCTGAGGGGGAGGGTGGGTGGGGTTCACTTCGCTCGGGAGCTCCCGAACGAAGTGAACCCCACCCTCCCCCTCAGAAATCGTGGGGGGTAGGGGCAAAGTTCGCATGTGGCCCCCTAAAACAGGAGAAAACGCTCGACCCTTGAAGTAGGCAGGCGCCTAAAACAAACTGGGACCAGGGGATCCCCCCGAAAATGCTTATATTTCAACGACCGGCGTGTATGTTTGTGCCTTTCGTTCTTCGATACAGGAGTCCAAAATCCCCTTGCGGGGGCTACAGTGGAGGCCAGTCCACAAGAAACCTTCCACAAGAAACCCAACCCTGATACTCCAGGAACGTCTATTGATTTTTCGTTTGGGAACGTCACGACTTCCATAGCAAAACCATCGAAACCCAAGAAACCCAGGGCACCCTGGAGGCAAGCAGGGTGTTTCTTGGCATGGGCCTCCACTGCACGAGCTCCTCGACGCGCCTTGCCAGCCCCGAGCGCGTCCCGAGGCGGTCTCCGGCGCCTCCTGGGTGCCCAAGGTCGCTTCGCGGACGGGCCAAGACGGACAAGCTGCACAAGAGGCTTCGAAGACGCCCCCAAAAAGCCCCACGAGGCCCCCACTAGAGGCCCCGGGAGAGCCGAGCGAACGAGGCCCCCAACACCCGAAAGCAATGGCGATGGGGCTCAGGACGATCCAAGAGGCCCAGACGGCTCGAGCGGCCCCCATTAGAGCGACCCAACTGGGGCCACAGAAACTGAACTTACCAGCCTCGAACGTATCCCTATCCCTGAGATGGACACGCCAAAGGCGATGACGATCCTAGGGACGTGCCCTCAAAAAATAAGGGAATCCCTAAGATTGGCATCGTGATGGGGAGATGCCCAGCATAGGGATAGGGATACGTTCCAGGCTGGTAACGAACATGGCCCCAGCAGAGCACCCAGATGGCAAGTGTTAAGCTGGAGAGGCGGGTCGAGGAGCGGGAGGTCGGCCAGGCGCTGGGACAGGGGTCAGAGCACGGCCCTGTGCCCCCCTGTGCGATTTCACAGTGGACGGGTTCCTTTACAAGGCGTTCCCTCGCGTGCACCTCGCCTTCGGCACGGCCTGATTCCAGGGCTCTGCCCTCCCTTGGCCTTGACGTGAGGCCCCTCCTTCTGCCTTCCCCCCTCTGTCAATCAAAGCTGCGCGCGGCCCGCCTAGCTTCGACCAGAAAAGGCTCGCTCTCGACCCGCGGATCCAAAAAGTGTTTTCACAATGGAGCATGGCTGGCCGGACCCAGGAAATGCAGCCTGCACTGCAGCGAGAGCACGACTCATGAATGGAATGTGAGCAAGTCTCCGGCGAAACGGCTGCCAGCGCAGGCGGTCCGGGGCTCCCCCGTCCCCCCTGCAGGACTCTCCTGTGGTCCTGCTTTACCCTGCGAAACGCCACCAAGATACCTTGGGACCCTTCTGTCGAAGCCCGAAGTTCACATCAGCTCCAGGACCCCGAGGGGCTCCTTGAAACGAGCCCTGGGAAAGGCGCGACGACCCCCCGCGCCCTCGGTCCCGTCCTCCCTTGCCCTCCCTCTCTTGCCCTCCCTCGTCCCGTCATCCCTTTCCCTCTCGGCCTGCATGGGGTTGGCCTTGGGAATCTCCTCCTCCTCCTCCTCCTCAGATCCTCCACCTGCACCTCTGCCCCAACTCGCGCCACAGCTTGCGGCGCAAATCGAGGCCAGGCGACAGGTGGCCCGATGTCGGAGAGCCCTGCGCTGGGCCATATTTCAAGGCGGGGGCTTCTCACTTGTGCACGAATGTGGTGGGGTTCCTCCTCATTACTTGTTCTATTCTTTTAGGCTGACAATGAGCCTTCACAGTGTTCCAGTGTTCCAATGCTCCGTCCACCTTCCCCTCGCTCACCGCGACTCACTCGCCCTCCCCTGCTACTTGTTGGGGAGCCTGCTGGACCGTCCGGAGTGACGTTCCCAAGAGGCTGGCCAACGCGGATGAGTGATTGTGTCGCCGCGGTGGAGGTACACAAATGTAAACCCGAAAGGCCAAAATACATTCCCCACCTACAAATAGACCCCACCCATGAAAGAAGAACGCCCAGGCACTCCGAAGGCTCCAGAAGCGAGTGTTTAGAATGCGGTGTTTGTTATGGTGTTTCGCGCTGCATTTCGTTATGCGACGCGTGGGGACAAATAAGCGCACATTGCTTTGCAAACACAAAACGAATCGAAATACAAGCTGCACACGAATACAATCCATCACGGAAAATGCATGCCTAGGGATGTGGGTCATATCTCGGACCTGAACCAACGCCCAAAGTACGGTCCAAGAGGAAGAGAGCCCCAAGCGACCCCTAGGCGCCCAACGACGACCCGAAAAGTTCTCAGCAAGCTCTTAGAGATCTCAAGACGGCGCCAACGCCAGAACAAGTCATGGTCGTGCTCTTCCTCTTGCTTCCCCCTAGGAAGGGAACAGTTATACAGATCTACCTCCTTCTTCCTCCCTCCCCCTCTCCTCTGACTGTGTTCCTCCTTCGAGGGAGGGGGATGGAGGAGGAACTAGGTGGATCTGTATAGTTGTCATCCTACGACCCCTTCCCCAGGAATCACAAACAACACCGCGAATACAATCTGCTGAGGGTCGGTGGAACGACGCAAGCCTCTCGAGTTACAGAGTTAGTTACGCGCTCCACGCGAATTATTCAGGAGACTGCGTCGCCCTAAAATAAGGTCTGCAACCTGCCCTGACCTATGTCAAGAGCGGGCGGACCGTGGATATTAGCCCTGCCACCGGCTGCCGCAAGGCGGAAGGGGGGCAGGGTATTGCATCAGCGTCAGAGGAGTTTCTGGTCGGGAGGGGATACAGAGAATCGTTTATCCGATCCCCATCCCCAGCGGCGTGGACTGGGCCCCACTGGCCGAGTTACCCCCCTAGATGGGGATATAGGCCGTTCCATTCGGGTTTCGACGGGTGTATCCCCAACTGGGGGGATAATTTGGTGGGGGTCTCGAAGGGGATGGCGATGGGGACGGGGATCGGATAAACGATACTGAGATACAGTCAACCCGTAGAATAAGGACGCACGATAAGGTTGCAGGGGCCTGAAAGGCCATGGCGACACTCGGGCGGGGTGCGGCCAGCGAGAGGGGCCAAGGATGGGCCGAAGGGGGAAAGATGCAAGGGCCCCCTTGGAAAGGTGCGCATCCTCACTATGCGGGTTGATGGTAAGCAGGGTAACGGGAGACTCCAGGAAGTCCATTGATGCTTGGTGTGGGAACGTCACGCTTCCCATAGCAAAACCATCGAAACACAAGAAACCCAGGACACCCTGGAGGCAAGCAAGGTGTTTTTTGGTTTGGGCTTCCGCTGTGTTCACGCCCGCGCTTCTTCAGCACGGACCGACCGTCCCGGCATTCCTATAGGCCTACCACGAAATGTTCTAAGAATCCAGAAATGTCCTAAGAACAAAAACAAGGTTCTGAGAACATGAGCCCGATGCGT